CAAAAGTACCGTAAGATCGATCAGTGGGCCATTTTTCAACCAAACTTGGCACGAGGCGTTCTTGAGAGTCTGTCCAAATGAAATGAAGGGCCTAGGCAGATGTGAAGGGGGTATTTTTAGGAATAGGGAAAATAGGCTGCATTTCATATCCGGATTTTTTTTTTTTAAATTTTCAATATTTCATTTTCGACATTTTAAAGTTTTCATTTCCGACATTTTCAACTTTTCATCTCCGACATTTTTCAGGTGGTACTTTTAGGCAATGAAAGCAAGATTGAAGACTTCACTTATAAAAATTTAAAGAATAAATCATAAATAAATCTTTGAAATCTAAATAAAGAGTTTTGCCTACCTATCAACGAAGCGAAAATAAAAGATTATTTTCTTTCCCTTAGGCACTTGTAAGTATTGTGGAATTTCGCTCATCTCCTTTTCAAATGTTCAGTTTAAGTTTGAAATCAGATATGTTTGGATGGAAATCATAAGGCATATTTTGAAAATGTGGTTCGAAATAAAGTCTTTTAGAATTCCATTTCCACCAACTTGGTTAACTTTGGTACCCTGCAAAAATTCCGGAAATGAAAAAAAAAATAAATGTCGGAAATGAAAATAAAAATTGTCAGAAATGAAATTTAAAAAAATATCGGAAATGCTATGCAAAATTCCGGAAATGAAATGCAGCGGGAAAATAGGATGAGGCCACACGAAGGGGTAAAACTATACAGGTAAAAATCTTCTGGTGCTAGGGTGGCTTCACATTTGGAGTCGAATAGGGATATACATATGTATATCGAAATTCTTTAAAATTCTGATGATGAACAGCAGGACCACATTTATACAATCATCATTTATACAATCCCCTCAAAAGCGTATAAGTCATTGCACCATGCAGGAGTAAGTTATGCAGTCACAATACATAAGCGTCGAAACCGGGGGGGGGGGGGGCTAAGGGGGTTTAGCCCCCCCCTCCACTTTTTTGCAAAGATAGACATTGAAAATTAGGGCTTGGCCTCCCAAACATTTTTTTTTGTTGTTGTTGGTTTAGCCCCCCCCCCCCCCCACCTCTTCTCAATTTGCTTCCAACGACTATGCAATAGGACATCAAAGTTTGACTATAGGAATAAATAGGAACATCCTATAAAAATATTCTTCAAAACACCCGGCCAAGCTTATGAGGGTGAGCGTTGTGGTCATGGGTCTTTTGCTACATTTCTTAGTACAGGCATAAAAGCATTGCTAGTATTACGCATTATGATTGTAATTTATTTAGCTAAAACATTATTTAGCTTATCTCAGTAGTTGTGTTTGCTCTTATATCGTATTTGGTGAATGCTGGCTATAATCCCATACATCACCCATGAATATCCCATATCAGGTCCGGCCGTACAGCGTTTTTCCTTGGGGAGGGGGGGTATTACGACCTCCGGGAAAAAAAAATATATATATATATATATATATATATATATATATATATATATATATATATATATATATATATATTTTTTTTTTTTTTTTTTTTTTTTTTTTTTTTTTTTTTTTTTTTTTTTTACTGACGGGCTTTAGAAACGCAATGCTTGATAATTTTCTGCATTGTAAATTTATTCATAGATTTAACAAATAAATTATTTCTGGTATATAATCTACCATGTTAAATCCCAAATGTTCTTTGATTTTTAACATCATTTTATTCACAAAAAGGCTACATTTGAAAAGAATGTCAAAGAGGGGTGGGTCAAAATTGTGGTTTTGGTCTCGAATACCGAGTGTGGCCTCCATTGGCCCTGATAACGGCGCGAAGGTGACGTGTCATTGACTGGCAGACACACTCTGCCAACAAGGCTCTCCCAAGTTCCTCCGGGTTCTGGGGCTGAGGCTGGCGGCTGCGCACACGTCTTCCCACCTCGTCCCACAAATGCTCGATTGGATTTAAGGAGGTTGGATCCTGCCATCAAAAGTAATGAGAATTTTTTATCAAGTATATTTTTAGAATTAATACACATAGCTTAACTAAAAATCAAAACAAAAAATGGGGGTCAATGCGCTTCTTTTGGCGCTACAGAGCATTTAGTTTGACCTTTTTGCACTGTAAATACGTCTTGCACATAAATCAATTTTTAAAGGTTTTCCTCCAATATTTTTTATTCAAATAAATTATGGGAACAAACACAGTCCTATTTCATCTTGAATAGAGACATTAAAATTTCTGACAACGAAAAATTTTTCAAATTACTCCGCATGTTCAATTAATTGACCTTTTTGCACTCAAACAATTTCATTTTTCTGGCATGAAAACTTTAAGAAGCAAAAAAAATCAATTGAAAGTAATGCCATATTACTAAATTTAAGAATAATGGTTAAAAGTATCTGATATATTCAGAAAAGAAAATAAAAAGTGGGGGTTTGTGATGTTAATTTTTAGATATTACTAAAATAGTGCTAATTTTAAGCTTAAAATAGGGATATTTTTTCTTGATTTTCACAGTATATTTGCTATATTTATCAAATATGATGATGGAATTCATGAAAGTCTATTTGATATATAATTTAGGACCAGTATGAAACAGTTTACTGCACAAAATAAGTCTGTGTGCAGACTGCGTGTAGAAATAGGAATCCAAACTTAACATACCTAAAATACTTCAAAAGAGAAAAAATGATCATTTTCTTCTAAAAAAAACCTTCCACCACAAAATATAGTTCCTTAATTAATGCTTTTGGTATGGAATTTAATCATGAGGTTTTAACTGAATATAGTTTAATTAGCATTGTAGAATCGAAATTTATTGTAAGAATTAAAACTTTATTTTTGAATTATAGGTTAAGATATGAATCTGCTCAAAAGCTCAGGAGCGAACCTCATTAAGTCTAGCGACATAGCGGGCCAATCAAGGACGTTAATATCGTTCGTTTGAAGGAAATATATATATGATCAACACTGTAACTTGCAGCTTTTGATTCTAAATATATCTTTGCACTAGTGACTACCATGATGACGCTCGAATTCTGTTATTGTTTTACACAAACTGCAATCGCATCTTCTCGGGCCTTTCCGACAAGCTCGGAAAAATACCTCGAATGTATTTACATCACCGGATGTTAAAATTTCATACAAAATGGAGTCACTTTCTATTAATTTACGTATGGCTAATACAGAGTTGATTGTCCCCTAGGAGGTATATTTCATGTGATATCGTTGCATTCAATGAACTTTTGCTCAAGTTTCTACATATGAGGGTCGCCCCACATTTATTTCAATGTTTATGAAAAGGGGGTTGTTATGGATGCCTTCGAAACATTCGAGGTTTTTCCGCATGCCGGAAAAGCCCGAGAAGTTGCGATTGACAAAAACTATCGTTATCATATTTGGGAGATTAAAAATTCAAGGAAAATTGTACAGTAAGAGCCAAATGTGGGCCCTTATCAGGCATAAGAAAAAATCAATAAGATAAAATTTATGAATAGATTGTTATGATAAATTTTTAAAGAAGCCAGGTTGAAACCAGGATACACATCGATTTTGATTTACAACATACACACTGGTCACAAGGAAGTAATAGATTACAACTATTTTTTTTTTGATTTCTTTTTTTCTATTTCACTTTTTTAAAATGTTTCAAACAATTTGAAGACAAGAGAGCAAATCTTTTCTTTTTATGCAGATGCATTTTAAGGTGTAACGACCCTCTAAGAAGAGAGATAACTTCGCAACAAAATAATCCTTAAGTCGAATATTGGCTGACGTTTTTCAAATAAATTGTTAGGTCATTATATTTCGGATTGTCTACGATTTTTTCTGTTTTCCCGATCATGACAAGGAGCACCCGGTGGGGCGACCGGTCGACAGGGGATGCTAACTCCTCTATGGCACCTGATCCGACCTCTGATGTGTTTAGAAGTTCATATTTGCTCAGCTCCAAATTTGTATTATATTGTTTCAATGGACTTTTGAGCTTGATTACTGTTTGCTATCTTTACATTTCATTAAGAAATCACTGTCTAGTTTGTTGGGTATGCCAGGACATCAACGATAATTGGAAACGCGGGATAATTCGCATACAGACGAAATTTGGGACCACAAAATATGCATAATATGATTTCATTTATCTGTATATTTGTTTGCCAGTTAAAAGTTTTTTTTATAATTATTTTCCCTTATGCCTAAATTTTGAGTAGGACCCCTTTTCCAAAGTGAGTATGTAGGAAAGAACCCCAAGGACAAAATAGAATCTCAATGACACTGTTAAAATGTCCTCTATCTTTTATTATAATACAGTAAAACACGATTATAACGAAGTGCCAGGGACCGATAATTTTGCTTCATTATAAGCGTAATTCGTTGTATCCGTTAAGTTTACAATATATTTAGTCAAGGAGAATGAAAATCACTGTTGTAAGCGTCAATTCATTATAAACATGTTCGCTATAAGCGTGTTTTACCGTACTCTGTCGTCATACTATGCTGTTGGAGCTCTAGAAAATGACCAATATCTAATAAGATGTATAGATAAAACAATCATTTTTTCAGCGATATGATACAACAATAAAAAAAAATGAGAATTTAATTTTTTTTTTTAAAAATCGAGACCTTTTTTTTATTATTTAAATTACGTATGCTATCACTTAAAATCAATACTAGTTTTAAACGCATACAATAACAGGTGTTTGATGATAACTAATTTTTCATTGTTCCGAACTCATTCAAATGTTAACTTGTTCTTTTTAAAGCTTTATGGCAGAGAATATGTTACAGTTTTCCTCCGTTAACATTTTGTAGAAATAGAACGTAAATAAACTATTCCAAAAATATTTTTACAAGATATTTCACAGATAATTTATTAACGTTCAGTATGGTTTTCCTTGCGGTGATGCACACTGCTATGACATACATGCGCTTTTGAATGAACTTCCGTTTTGTTAAAAAAAAAACTGATATTGACTTAAACTGCAGTCATATTTACAGGCTAAATTGAAAGAAAGCAGGCAAAAGTGACAACAAAGTGGTGGTGGATTATGCGACAGAAGACATGTTTAAGAGACATCGTAAATTTGGTTTATTTTTAGTGACGACAAACACTTTTATTTTCTTCACATTACTTCTATATTCTGCGTTCTACTCTCGGCGGCCAAATTTGATAGAAACTCTCTCCAACTCAGTTATAAACGCACGGGATATGACAGGTATCAAATTTTTTTCATCTTACTTAGAAAAGAGGCAAGTTATTCCAGACAAGTGTGAAGAAGAAGTAGAATTACTCATATTGATTCCGAGTTCAGCTTGGAATTTTGAGCAAAGAGATGCTGTTAGGACAACGTGGGGAAATATAAACAGTACTGATGCCAAGATGAAGCTGGTGTTTCTGACGGGAAGGACTCTTAATGACACAATTAAAAGAAAGCTGGATAAAGAAGGAAGACTTCATAAAGATTTGGTGCAAGAAAACTTCCAGGAAACTTATGACAATTTAACCAACAAGTCCGTGGCATTGCTTAAATGGGCAAACTTAAATTGTCCAGCTGCTAAATACGTCTTAAAAACAGATGACGACATGTTCATAAATATTCAAAATTTAGTCAATTTGTTACGAAGAACGAAACCGAAAAACTCCATACTGGGAGTCAAGAATTCGTATTCTGTGCCATTCCGAGACCCAGGGTCAAAGTGGTACGTCTCCAAGAAACAATATCCAAAAGACAAGTATCCGTCTTATATTAGTGGCACCGCATACATTATCACAGGTGATATCATGTCAGCATTATTTAACACGACAAAGTACCTGCCATCATTATTTATAGAGGATGTTTATATAACGGGGATTTGTAGAGAAGCAGTCGGTGCTAAAGCTGTTCACGTCTCCGGGTTTGATTCAGGTAGGAGTAGCGGGAAAATAAATGGAGCAAACTTTCAGGATAGGATAACTGGGCATCATTTTTCTCCAAACGATATTAAACTGATGTGGAATGAACTTATGAAAGCTACGCCTAGATCATCCAAAAATGATCAATAAACTTTATGGACTTTCAGAGGAGGAAAATATGATAAAATGCGCGTTTTTATTTGAACTTTAAATTTTTTATTTGAATGAAACTATCGTTTAATTGATTTCTAAACATTATGTGAATTGAGAGAAGAATTTCACATTAAATTTGGTATTTTAGAAAATTATAGATATTTTAAATGATTTTCGGCATAGCATTACAAAAACTTATTACAAAATTTGCCATGTTCCATAAATAAGTACTCTAAAGGTAACGCATTTTTCTTTAATTCGGCATTTACAGCCTAATTATCTTACAAAACAGTTTACTCGCTTGTAAAGAAACACCGGTGTACATTTCTTAAAATCCGATGTCGCATCGAAAATTTCCGCTCAGAGTCGCCCGGAAGGATCATAGCCTACTTGATTTCGGGCATACATGTACCCGTTTTCGCAAAAACTCCGTGAGGGAGAATTTGATTTTAAATCATTAATCGCTAGATGGAGGGGAAAAAACGCGTGGTTCTCGCATTGAAATGAGTGAAAATAATTAATAAAACTTTAACATTTTGACTGCAGAAATTTGACTTTTGAATATGCAAGAAATAGCTTCATTCACTACGCCTCTTAAGAGTTGATATGTAATATATAGAGTACCTTTTAACGAGTGTATCTTCAGATATCAGACGAGGGGACTTGTCCCCCGAGTCTGATTTCTGAAGATGCACGAGTTAAAAGGTACTCTATATGTTTTGTATCATTGTTCTCAGTTATTAAGCTACCCATGTTCTATCAATTTCACGTTAATAGCACGTAATTCAACTACATATTCTCATGCACTGAATTAGCCATGATCTATCAAAATTTCATCATACCATTTTATACAACCAATGAAAAAAAAAGCACGTGATTCGAAAAGTATAGCGCGCTGTATTTCTTGAACTTTCTACCTCGTCCATTCATATTCTGAACGCCATGGATGACGGTTGTGATTTTATGCTTTCGCAATTCTTATAGATACGGAAACCGAAATTATGAAGGAAAATTCCTTAGATCAGTTAGCAAACCAGATGCAGGTTGAAGATTCTTTGGGAAGTATGACGTTTGATCTACCGGAACTCAAAACTGAACCTATGGATTTCGATATAGGAGATATTTTATACATGATTGATACTGAGTTGAGTGCGTTAATTTCACCAGTCCTGAGGTCGACACCAAGACGAAAAATGAAAGGTTTGTACAAGTGTCCGATTATGAAATTCAGCGTTTGATAGACTCTCAAAAAATATCCTAACACTCGAAACGTTCAAGCTAAGGAGTGGCGTGCGGCACGGGGAAATGTCCACTTTTGACCGAGATGAACAGCGATTCTCTAAATTACTGGAAGCAGCGATTTGTGTTGGAATTAGAAAACAGGGATTGTGTGTGGTTTGTTACGCTTCAAGTTTATGAGAAAAGAAAACATTCATTTATAAAAATGTGCTTGTGTGAATTTCGTTTTGGATTTAAAAATTGACGTGCAAAATTTAGAATTTTTTATGTAGATCTGAGGAAAGCTTTACCTTCACTATGTTTATATGTGCTTGTATTTTGCTTATTAAGTCAGCTACTTTGTTTATATTCTTTTTCTTTATCTATGTAAGGTCAAGGATCATTAGAATTGTTGCATCATTACCCTGGCGTGTTCTATCTTGATAGAGCATGGTTGTTAGAGCACAGTTAGTCATGGTGTATCAAAAATAAAAACACAGTGGACATCAAAGGAAAAACACCGCAGCAATGATACAATAATAATCAACCTATTAGGAATTTTTATTATCTATGATTAGTCTCTTTTCTGAGGTGTACATTATATCGATCAACTAAACATGAACAGCGTAGCCCATCAGATACATGTACTTTACTACTGTTTGTAATCTGAAAAGCTCATTGAATATCAATACTTGATGAGCATTACTAAAGACGATGAGGTCTTTTTCACCTTAAAGCAAATCCGCTTGCAAGCTTCAGATTACAAGGGTGGGGTTACATTGAAAAGTAATTAATTGCAATAATTTTTTACTTTGTCTTTTTCTTCAGTTTATTTACAGAGATTTAAGGCATGCTAATAATTAAATAACAATTACTTTGTAAAAGTAATTAATTAAATTACAAATCACAAATAACATTTTCATTTTTGCACATATTCATAATACTTTTAAATGAATACAGAGCATAGTATATGCTCAACATTTTTGCAAACTATCATTAAATCAAATGAACGTAATTTAATTAAATATTGTGTATTTATTTTTTTTTAATAAACTTATTATCTGGGATCAGCTTGACAGCTTTTAATGTTAGTGTGTTTCCTCAATACAAGATTTTGATTTGAACATATTTTATTGTTTATTAGATATTACAACAAAAGGATCGGGCACAAGTTCTTAAAACTTAAAACAAGATCTGCATGTACATGTATACAATGTTTTTATTGCTTGTCCTTTAAAATTTAATTAAAAGTGAATTTCAATCAATTTATGAATTAAAAATCTCAAATTATTTCATACGTAGGTAAGCTCAACACCTTGAAATATAAATATTGACAATTTTCACACAATAAATTATATTTGTATGTTACTATTTAAGATACTTCATGTAGCTGCATTTATAAAAATCTGTTTATATGTTAAAAAAAATTATTGAATAAATATTTCTTTTCTTTTCTTCTGAAGTCAGTGGAGCATTTTAAATTATATTAATAATGTCTAATGGTCATCTTCTTTAAGTTCAAAGCATGGCATTTCATATCCAAATTTGATATCGGCTTCAGCGAAACAGAAACAGATGACGCTGTTATAATTCATATGCCAGGTTTTACGCTATACATTTATGAAAAATACACAGTGTCAAAAGTTCGGTCAGGTGATGTTATTTTAGCTGTAAGAGATATACTAGTATACATGAAGGATCTCTGTGGCTGGATAAAAAAAATCATATCCATCCACAAACCATGGGGGATTCTTTTTATGACGTTTTAAATAAAGCTATTTAATGTTTTACGTTGTTTTATTTAATTATGTGAATCCACAATATATGACTTCATCAAATCCACTCAAAAACCAGTATGTCGTCACAACCGTGGATATGAAAACGATAGTCTATGAGCTATATTCACTGTAAAAAGGAGAAAACATGTGATAAACTCTGGTAAAACACGTGAAAATACTAAATAGTACTTGTAAATATATTCTTTTGTTTCAGGTATTCAATGTGTAACTACCATTTTTTATACCTAATAAATGAATGGTCCAATTTTTAAATCATGGTAGCATTTTGAAGGTGTTATCAAACAAAAATACTCCACCAAAGGGATTTACCAAATTTTGATTATTGTATAGTTAATTGTACATGTACCTTGAAGTTGAAGTCTACAGGCAGCGCATGTGTTATTAAGATATTGTAAAAAGTGATTTGAATTTCATACAAATTTCTTGGTGAATATATGCATAAACTCTCTCTTTATTATAATATGAAATAAAATGAATCATTCACCATAGATATTTTGAAAAAATTAAAATTTTCTTCTTTTCATCAGATAACTCTTAAAAACTTTTAAGGTGCAAAAGGAATGGCTTCTTACATGCTATCTGTCATGCGAATTTGGTTCATTTCACTTTCATTGTTATCTAGCAATGCATTTTTAACTAGTTTAATATGAATCAAATTGTTCAAAATCCCGTCTTTATACATTGAATACCTTAAGATAAATAAACGCATGCATTCTTAATACTGACGGCGATGTAATATATGGAGTTGTGTACTATGTGTTCAATGGGTGAATTTAACTCCAGAGTGAGTAATTTACCTGACTGGTTTGATGTTTATGATTTTCAGTTAGGGGACGATCATTTCGTTCTTAAAGGGAGGGGGGTTTCCGAGTCAGATTATACATTTTCATGTCGATGAAGGACGGATTATTTATTTCCAAGATAATTGAGGACAGATTATTTATTTTCTTTTTCGCTGAAAAATATCTGACCAAGAAAAAGCCATCCAAACTCTAAATGTCTATTTCCGGGAGGGGGGAGCACCAGTCAATGACAGACGATTTACTTTCATGCCCGTCGAGGACGGATTATTTATTTCCTACATTTTCGATGACAGACTATTTATTTAAAAAATCTGCCACTCCCCCAGAATCAAATAGTCGTCCCCTTAATTCTATAAATTTGAGGATATTTTAGGAGAGCCATTGAAAACTATTATATTTGATGATTCCCAGATCCTCTCAACAGGTAGTAAAAGATGTCCATGTTAATAAATTTGATTATAAAATAATAATAAACAATGATATTTATTTTGTAAATGGCCGTGTTGGCAGTGATAAATCTATGGGAGGCTTAACTTTGCAGAGGTGGTAGCACAGTGGACTATGTACAGGTCGAGACCACAACATTTTCTGACGTCAGTTAAACAGGTCGGGTACACTACCTTTTATGGAAGTCACTTTTCAACACGTGACTATGTTTTCGTCAAACCCTGAATGAATCGCAAAGCATGACAGGCTCCTACGTGTTTACAACCAACAGCAACATGTCGTTTTTTGTTGGTCTTCTGCATAATATTTACTTGATCACCGGAAAAATTGTACAGCTTCTTTTTTACTTTATAAGGCTGAAATTGAAAGATTATATTAAAAAAAAAACTGTTCCATGCTCACGTTTTAGATGATTAATAATTGCTTAAAATACTGTACAAACGCTTTGACGTTTGCATGTATAAATAATTGCGCACCATGTACTGCTGTCTAAAACTTTGCTTTGCGAATCATTCAATTGATTGGAGAATGCGTTTGACGAAAACATCATCACGTGTTGAAAAGTGCCTTCCATAAAAGGTAGTGTACCCGACCTGTTTTATGAAGGCATGTTCCTTCGTATTTATACAAAGATAATTGTTTCATGTTATAGCGCAAAACGTGACGTAATCCAATCGTAAAGAGATTGACTTTATTAACTGAACAATTTTCCCCTGCAAAGACATATCATTTCGAAGAGTTTCATACACAAATTAAAACCTGATTGTAAAGAGTCTGACAGGTTTTCTATATTTTAATCACTT